ACAGATAGACGAAGGAGGACGGACCCCAAGGAGACACCAGGCACACAATCAAGCAAAATGAATTGCTAACGATTTATTTGCAGCTCAGCTCTGAGCTCTGTCTCCGAGCTGCTGCTGCCGCTGCTGCTGCCGCTGCTGCTTCTCCTCCAATTCCGTTTAATTAGCTCACATTTAGAGCAAATTTAAAACGAATGAATCGCAGCGATTCGATTCGAATCGAATGAAATTAAATATCATTATTGCGCATATGGAGTCACGCGCTGAAAGCGATTCGGGACCTCAATAGAGGGCGGTGGGAGTGTGATGGGCCATGATGATGGGCAATGAAATGCAATGCATCAATTTCAATATTAAATAAAATGAAAATTTATCAATTTGTGCACGGACTAGCGTACAGAATTTATTAACATTTGTTGCGCTGACCGCAGGAAATTCAAATGTTTCGTTTGATTACATCTGGCTGTGAAATATGAAGCAATTATGGGAAAAATGTTTTTTAATTTGAAACTAATGGAAATTCATGGATCAATTAGACCCTTTTGTCCCGCCCAAAATGGATAAAAATTATATAATTACAGATGCATAAATTGTCCAGTGAATGTACGAGTTGTAAAATAATCATCGTTCAATCAGACATCAAACAATGTTAGTTGACAATAATCTCCATGTTTCGCCATTTTAGTTTCAGCAATTTGCCCACAAAGCGGCCGCAGCTCCACCGCACGACTCGGCCGTTTGTGAAGGACTAAATCCATGGCTATCCTGTGGATGCTGTCCCCCTTTTTGTACAATGCTATCCCGTGGATGCTGTCCCCCTTTTGGGCTGCAGCATCTGAGTCTGCGTACTGGCGGAACTCAAAAATACTGGGTACACTCTTCGCGTGCATTCAAAACGTATTATTTGAATTTGATTCGGGCCTGCTCCTGTTTCTCGGCAGCTCTCCTGCAAAAAACTCTCTATAAAAGCATATGTAATGAGTATCAGATCTGTGTAGTACCCATGCCATTTCCATTTCCACCGATTACATATTCACAAAGTGCAGGTACATATGTATGTACAGAAACAAGAAAAAACATCATGGAAAAGTCAAAAAGTCTTGTGGTGGTCCGGATTTAAAATGTTAAGCCTGCTGTCGGCAGCGTGAGAAGTCAACTGTTGAAAGTGAAATATTGTTTAGCGCATGAGGGCAAATTGCGGTGAAGTTAATCCCACATCCAGCCAACATCAAGGACCCATCTAAGCCACGTTTATGTGTGTGTCCGTCCGGCCGTGCGCAATTGTACGATTAGGCTAATGAGGTGTGCAGGGCACGGAGCGACATGGCCCGGCCAGTCCTGCCTGATTGATGGTCCTGATTATTCAGCTTGTCAGGCTTATCCCAACCGACTCAACCATCCTCCTCCCTCCCTCCCTCGGGCTAGCAGAAGCCAACTGGAATGTTTGATGCAATGAATATTATCAGTCCCATCCGAAAACCTCCCAAACCAAAATGCTCGCAAACATTTTTAAACACGAACCTTCTGCCCTTGTTGATGCTGCTGCTGCTGCCTGCGGCGTGGCATGTGTAAAATTACCCAATTTAAAATGCATTTTGGTGCATTAGGCAGGTGTGGGAGTGGGTGGGAGTGGGAGTGTGTGTGTGTGTGGGATTGGGATTGGGGATGGCCAACGTGTGCATGTCAGGACGACAAATTTGCATATTTTCGACGAGTTTCTAGCTCTCAGCCGCAGGTATCAAGGGAAACCATTCTTATGAAACCCTTTTTTTTGGGTGATGGCAGTAGCAAATATTACACACATAAATGTATGTATATGTAAGCCAACGGGTGGCGGTGTGAGTTCGAGTGCCATTATGGCTGCAAGCTTCCATTAGGCCAATATTGTTGGCTTCTGTTGTTGTTGCTGCTGCTGCTGCTTGGCTCGGCCCAAATATGGCTTCCTAAGTGGCAGCCATCAAACTGTTACGAGAAAATATTGATGCACTCAACCGCTATGGGGAAATGCTCAACCAAACACCATGATAAATTCAATAAATTATTCAATCGAATACGGGCATGGCCAAGCGAGAGATCAGGCGCTAGGTAGCCGAGCCTTAAGTTTTGTTTGCTGAAACTTTGCACATTTAAAATGCTCACAATTCGGTCTTCCATCTTCATTGTTGAGACACTGGCAGTGGCACTGGCACTGGCACTGGCAGTGGCACTGGCACAGTGGCGACGGAGCGGATGTGTAATATGTTATACATTATTCTTGCAACCTCAATGGCAGGCAGGCAGTCTCGTTGCATGCAACAGTCACCGGCTAAGGAAGAGGGATAGAGAGAGCGGCTGGCAGACAGAGGGACGCGTGTCGGAGAGGGTGAAACGGTAGCAACACTTCTTGGTGACACATTCATAATCAAGCTTTCTACACGAAAACATCATAAAATATGAACAAACGCTTCCGAGACACTGACAAGAAGTTTTAATTGCTTTTCCGCATGCAACTCTGCTCACTCACGTGTGTGTGTGCGTGTGCGTGTGCGTGTGCGTCTGTGTGTTTGTGTTTATGTATGGGTTACTGGAAAGAAGACTTTTTGGTATTCGATTAAATTGCTTCCCCTGCATGCACCCATCCACCATCTATCATATCTAGCCTTCCAGGCTCTGCCACTTGACACACGCGCCAGCAACGCTGTGCATCATTCACGTTGACATTTTCGGAGTCTACTCGTATATATTTTGATGAATACACTTCATGCATAACTGAGAACCGGAACCCCATAAAGTGACAATGCTTAAGTAGAATCTGTCAGGGGGCTGGGTGGTTCAGGGGCCACACTAGCATCAAATATTTATACCTTAATCAGGGAGTTTCTCCCCAGTCTCGCGCCCAGTGAGAGTATATCGTAGGAAAGAGGGAAAAGGGAAAAGGGAAAAGGGAAGCGAAAACTTCATTCTCAAGCTGACAAGTTTTGGCCGAAAATGTGATGTTAATTACTCGTGTGTTCATTAAACCCTCTTCTTGACAGCAAAAACTATCTAGAGCTGACTTTAAATATTATTTGCGGTCTTTTTTCACCATTTTAATGGCATAATTTTTCATTCAGAGACAGAGACAGAGCCAAAGCCAAAGTTTGTGGTATCCCACCTCCGGTGGGAGCCACAGGAATTGGCTCGTTAACACAGCCATAAAGAATTGAATCTAGTTCTGCTCTTGACATTTACGAAGCATCGTTGTCTGGCTCTGTCGCTGTCTTGTTACATTTGCCCTTCTGCCCAAGCATTCGCCCTCTGGATGTTGTGTACGATTCCCACAGAACACGTCGTAATCATTTGCACCAGTTGTCTTATCGCTTGAAAGATGGTCGAGAGCAAAGCTTTTTGTAGTCGGTTTTAGATGGCCTCCTTGAATCCCTCACGAAAACCTGAACCCCAGACCACATTCCCTTACCCTTAGCCACCGCCATGCAGTGCATTGTACTCCTGTTGGACAGTTGTAGATAAGTTTGTTAAGTCTTTAGAAAAGATAATCCCCTAAGATAAAGTGCAAAAAGAGGAGGGTTCAAAAGTCGGACAGTATCTGTTGGGTTTGTTTCTGATTCGACATAAGAATGCCGGCCGGATTATTCAATGGCAACATGATATCTTACTTATCTAAGATTTTAGTTTACAAGTTTTCCCATTTAGAATGGTGTGGTGTGTTCACACTTTTAAAGCACACTGTACCGCACCGCACAGCTGGAGCAAGAAGCAAGAGAAGAAAGCACAATTGCATTGTTGACTCGCCATCATAAGAACACGAAGGCAGAAAGCATATGGAATGCACCTGCAAGCCTCAAGAGCGATGCAATTTTGCAAATTGTCTTCAAATGCGAGAATGCATTTCATTCCGTTTTTACCGTTGTACCGTTGTACCGTTGCCGCCTTTCCCACCCCTTTTTGTTGTTGTTTTGCAGCATCAGCACCTTAGGCGGTTTCAGAAACTGTCTGCAGATGGCTAAAGAAGCGGATGGAGCGGAGGATGTCGAGCAGAATGCAAAGGAAGAGCAGAGAGCTGAATGCAGTCTATGCATTGCCCGGAATAGCTGTGTGCGAAAATTAGTCGCTTTACGTGCGAGGTTGAGGTCAGTAATTAACGCAAGAGACTCTGTGGCGAGGCGGGCGTGTTCCAGCCACGGGTATGTCCGAAGCCCGAAGTGCAAGACGACAGAGAAATGTACCATCTTCGATAGTTAACCGAACGCAACGGGGAGCTACCGCCCAGCCAGCGTAGGAGGAGAAGGATGAGGAGGCAAGCAAAATTCTTGTTTTATGTACTTCCCCACAGCGCACAGGGAAAAGTAATTTTGGCCAAAATGCTCTTATTGACATAAAATACATAGTATAAATAAGGGTGATACTTAGTACACCCTTAGCTCTGCCTCTTTAACCAAGAAACTTAGTTAATTGCATTAAGCACGTCCACAGTATACTATTACGGACTTTGCCTTGGACCCATCTGCCTGCTCCCAGGCGATGGTCGGCAGCTGTGAGTGTTTCACGAGTTCCGAGAAAAGCAAACTGCTTCAGAGAGTTAAATTATGCAGACACACATTTATATGTATGTACAACATTCCACCACAATTTGCTTTACTTATTTGAACCTATGTACCTATATCAATCAACCGTCTGGGAATACTCAAGACTCAAGATTAAAGTTAATCAGGCAGCGTTTGATATTCGCATCTGATATCCGGTCAAAATACTTATGAGTATGGCAGACAAATGCGATTGTACGTACAACCGCAACTATTGTATATTTTATTAAATTTTACTTGTCATGTATAATTGAAATGGCAAAATGTTTATGGGGTTTGCTATTTATTATTCAATTACTCAAGTGTTTCATTTTGTGGTAATGGATTTGGATTTTTTTTCATCAAATTCTAGATGAAACTTATTTCCATTCTAGTTTTTTCTTTTTGCTGGTCAGCAAATGATATGCATGATGTGGCAGCCCAGCTATGTACTTACATATGTAAGGTTTAATAATTTAGTACCAATTGTACATATTCGCAGTTCTGTGAATTCTCACTGGGCGAATACATTTGTTTTATTTCGGTTTCTCTTTACCGTTCTGCTGAGTTTTAGCTTTGGTCCCTGGGGATACAGCTCTCGTGTGTGCCAGACTATGGCTTTATTATCGATCATCTCTGGCTGTTCCATGGCAAATGCGTTATGCTTTATGGAATTTTGTGCATCAACCTGGGCGGACCTTTTCCATAGGAACAGCTCTACGAGAGGCTTCAGAAGGAGAAAGTAAAAGATTTCCGCCAAAGAGATTACGCTGAAGCCCATGAAGAGGCCCATCACTCCTCCAATGTTAGCTGGTGTTTGCGAAATGGAAGCATAAAGTTAGATTTGAATACTGATTGAATGGAGCACAACTTACAAAGGAACTCTGTGAGTCCCACGTATGCGTTTTTCGTGTTGCCATAGTAGACGGACTCCCGGTAGTAGACATTGATGACGGCTATATTCCCACTCAGATACGATTTGTTGATGCTCTCCACCAGCGGATTGGCCAGTTGGAATTTGCTGGTGGCCAGGGGAAAGGAGAAGCCGCTGGCCATGTAGCTGAGGTCGAAACAGCCGGGCAGGCACTGCTGCCGGCACTTGACCCATCCCGGTCGGATGGCTGCCTGTTGGGCCCGATGCAGGCAGAGAGTGTCCCTCATGCCACACGTTGTGGCATTGCTGTAGATCTGCGGATAGACGAAGGGAATGCAGGCGCAGGACTCGTACAAGTATCCGGCCATGCACTCGTGCTCGCAATTGAGCCGCGTGTAGGTCTGGTAGAATATCAGGTCCTTCTCGTTTCCGAACAGGCACTGACGACCATCCCGCGAAATGGAGCGAATTGCTGGCACTGCCTCCGCTCGTAACACCTCCATGCGGTAGTTGGTTTCAAAGCCAATGGCTGTGATGAGTCCTGCCTCCTTGACAACAGGCACTTCGGTTGGATTGTGGAAGTAGACCTGCAAAATTACTTCAGCACGAGTTAACCTGGATTCAAGTATTCTCACCTTGAAGCCCGGCCCATTGGTCGAGGAGCAGTAGTACTCGCTCATCTGCGCATCGAGAACAGCAGTAAATCCCAGTGCAATTCCAGTTCCTAGACAATTATTCAACTAATTATCTTGGCTTCCACGGGCCCAATGCCTGATGCGGCTGATCACTCACCAATTGCTGTCGCTGGGTAATATTTGGTTGGTAATTTGTCGGGATAACCTGTCTCTGGATTCCATTTGACCGCTTCAAAACCATTTTTCATTGTCAAATTTCGTCTGCTATTTGAACTGCAGGAAAGAGAATTTCCAGGGTTATTGTCCACAATATGAAATCTATTCTTACAATGGCTTGTAGAGGAACTCTGGGGGCTGAAAGTTGAATACACAACACAGGCCCTCGTCCGTCATGAGCTGCTGGAACAGGTGCGAGCAGTTGTGCTCCACGGCATTGAATCTGCAGTAAAGCAGCATCTTATCGCAGCGCTGGGAGTGGTTCGAAACGAAATCAGATAAACTGAGGGTACTCTGGGCAAAGTTTGAACGGGACACGTCATCGTCAAGGTCTTCAGAGTCCTCCATTTCGGAGTTGCATAACAGCTTCAAAATTGCGCTCTCATCCGAGCCCCTAGCGTGATTCCGTCTTTCCGATTAGTGGTCTATCCACATGGATTGAAATCTATGAAACTTACTCTCTGTAATGCGACACTTGGCTGCTCTGAACCTGATTCATGTTGCATATGGTGATGGCCGGAAAGGGAACTTTCAAAATGGATGTGGCCTGTGGACTGATCCCAATTATCACCGGAGTGCTATCCCACTTGGCGTAGATGTTCGAGATGAGGTTGCACGTGACCACCAAGGCGACCACAAATGAACAAAAGAAAAAAGATCTAATGTCGGATGTGAAAGGAACATTGGGTTAATCCCATTTTCTCTCTCACCTCTCCCAACTGCTGAGACTGGAGTCTCCAACAAACTTCAGACCATGCAGTCCGGTGCTCTTGAGGAATTCCTTGAGACTCCTGCCAAGACTCCTCAACAGAAACATGGAGGATCCCTGCCTTTGTGGTGCACCCGAAGATTCCATTGCAACTATTTGGCTAATTCCTGCTGGCGTCTCCATAAATACCTAATATCTGGGGGCAATCAGCAACAAACACCCCCACATTAAAGACCCAAATAATTAATGCTCTCTATCGATTGCGGTGATTTGCGCCGAAGTAAATCCTTTCAAGTTAATTACTTTGACAACAGTTGCCCGCCGCCCCAAGCATTTTCATTCAATTAGGTTTACGTACACATGTCGTGCGGTCGTGTCTGATAAGATAAACGAATTGTATCACTCTTCCGCTTCCACAAGTCCCACATCAAACTGCTGGAGCACAGTCTTTGCCCTGCGAAATAGTTTGTAATTGATTTAAATATTCTTTTAATATGATAAAGTTTCCCTCTCGACTGAAGCTCTGGCAAGCGAAGCTTTCCGCTCGAATTGTGTGCCACCGCAAAAGCTTTTCGCCCCATACGCAATGAAAGCTCGGCCGCACGTGATGACAAAACAAAGCGAGAGCTATCGTCAGTACTGGAACTCTGAGCACTGCGATCGGTATTACCTGCACATTTGTTTACATTAATACCAAAGATAATACAATGAAAATCCGGAGCAATCCGCTGCCCCGGCGACTGGCAGATGTCTTGTGCTTCCTGCTCATCGGCGTGTTTCTGCCGATTGTGTTCATATTCGAGATAGTTGTGGTGCTGCCAGCATTTCACGAGCCGGGCGGCTTCTTTCACACCTTCACCTTCCTCATGGCCATGTTTCTGGTGTTCAACATTAAGGGGAACATGATTGCCTGCATGATGATCGACACTAGCGTTGACGGTGAGCCAGACAGAGTCCAGCCGATGGATGCTTCAGTGCTGCGAACTAAGAACCAATTCAATCCACAGTCAAGCAAGTGGAGCCGCCACCTGAGCAGTCGGCAGAGCGTCTTGAGTGGCGCGAGTGCACAGAGTGCAATCGACTGGCCCCGCCCAGATCGTGGCACTGCAAGATTTGCGGCGCTTGTATACTGAAGCGGGATCACCACTGCCTCTACACGGGCTGCTGCATCGGCCACCGTAACCACCGTTTTTTCATGGGATTTATTTTCTACCTGTTTTTGGGTTCCGTTTATGCCCTGGTCTACAACTCGATCTACATGTGGATCATCCATGGCAGCATATACTGCAATTGGCTGACGCTCCTCAAGCTCACTTGCCCCATGCTGCTGCTGGTGACTGGCGGCTTCTGGACCAACATCTACCTGCTTTTCTACAGCCTCAATGTACTGGCTCTGGCGTATGGCGTTCTCCTGTTGGGCTACCATGTGCCCATTGTGCTCCGTGGCGGAGTTTCCGCCGATCGCACAAAGCAGCGAAAGCTCAAGTACAAACGAGGAGTCAGGAAAAACCTGAGAAGTGTCTTTGGGGTGCGCATGCACATAGCCTGGCTATCTCCACTCATTCGCAGCGATCTACCCGACGATGGCTACCACTGGAAGGCCACCAACTCTACCACCGCCAAGGAGAGCAAAGACTGATGTAGCTTAGGATATGTGTATTTTTGAGGCGTCACGCCTGGGCAGTCCGTAGATGAGTACCGTGACTTTCGCTTCCTCGGGCTGGCTGCAGCTCAATCGCAGGGTGGTGTAGTTGCAGCCGATTCCGCCACTGAGTATGGATGCATCCACCAGCCATTCCACTTGACCCTCGTCCATGACCAAAATCAGGTTAATGTTGGAAATCAATTTATCCTGCATAGAAATATAAAAGTACTTCATTATTTACAAATGATAGAAAACAAACCTTTTGCCTGTACTTCACATCGAGAAACTTTTCAGATTTATTGGGGCACATTTCCACCTCATAAATGGGCACAGCCAGTGGGTGCATCATACCAAACTGCACGGAGTAGCCAAGAGCATCGCCGGCGAGAAGAATTGTCAACAGCATCAGCATCAGCAGCAACAGCGCGACTTTGTGCATGCCCGGAGACTGAATAAAACTCTATTCAAGCAATTATCAATTATTGGAATTGATGTTTTTGACAAGCAAAGCAAACATTACGATAACAGGCTACAGTTTAGATAATTTATTATTAAAAAGTTATTAAAGAGATTCTCTGGGGAACAAGTAATGATTCAAGTGATCTGCACTTTGCGGATAACCGATTTGCACTCATCGTTGCGGAAGACACGATGATAGCTGGTGATCTTGCCCAACGAGGAGATAAAGTTCTCATCGTGGGTGATGATGATTAGCATGAAGTTGGACTGCGTCTGGCGCTCCTCCACAATGCAGTTGAGTGCATCGCACAGCGATGTGATGTTGATGCGATCCAGGTTCGTGGTTGGCTCGTCCAGCGCCAAGACACCACAATTACTGCTGAAAGTCTCGGCCAGAGCCATGCGGATGATGAGAGAGGCCAGCACACGCTGACCGGCACTGCAGCGTCCACGCATTTCGATCTCTGTGTTGTTCTTGGACTGGACCACGCGATAGTTGTAGGTCTTGCGGCGATCAGCAGATGCCTCAGTGTTGACCTCGTCCGTCTTCACCTGTATATAGTCGATGTCGTTGCCGCGATAGATCATACGCCAGTACTCCCGGATTAGCCGGTTGATCTTCTCCATCTTCTCCGCATGGAACTGTATGAGGGCCCATTCCAGGGCAAATCGATGCTCGGCCAAGTCCTCATTGCTGCGACGCGTGACTTGCATCTCGAAATTGCCTTTTCGGAAATTCTTAACTGCCTCCCTGAACTGCGGTTCATCGAGCTCCCTCTGCAGCCTTTCCACCTGACTGTGGATCTCACCCAGTTGGCCCAGCAGCTCTCCCTTGCGCACTGTGCCCGCATCCCGTCTCTTGGTCAGATCAACTTTCTCCCTGCTGACGCTGTGCAAGTCCAAATTTCCCAACTTTTTGGCCAGTGTCTCGCAGCTTTCCCTCAACTTTGTTTCCTTATCCTGCAGCTGCTTAAGCTCGCGATTGTCTCGCAGATCGCGTTCAATGGTCTGCTGATTGAGGCATTCGGTCTTTACGCTCTCCAGATGCACGGTTTTCGCATTGATTTCGGTCTCCTGCGGAATCAAAGCTAACTGTTAAGAGGGTTTTTTCTCAGAGGAGGAGGATTTCTAAATCACTTGCCAATTGCTTTAGCTGTTCTTTGGTGGCCCTTATGGAGTCCTCAAGATTACTGATCTCACTCTGAAGGTTCAGTTTGGCATAGGCCTGAGCTTCTTTATGCAATCTGACAATGGAAATATATCAGATTTAATGTTAGCTAAAACTGCAATCTTTTTGTAGGACCTACCTTTGTATATCCTGATCTGTACTTTTGTAGGAATTATATTTGGCATTTAGCTGGGTCAGCTGTGTGCGTTCGGCTTCTTTCTTTTGCTCCTTCTCGTCAATGGCAGCCCTTAGCTGCTGCTTGAGTGGTTGAATCTTGGTCTTGAGTTGGCCTATTTCTGTGGTTATGGTGACGAGAAGTTGAGTCAGTTCATTGCTCCTCTCCTTTAACTGTGGCAAGCTCTGCAGCCCCTCCTGCAGCTTTAGTTGCTTATCTTTTAGTCTAGAAAATGATAGGGGAGATTATTCGTCTTGTAGAAGAATGTCTTGAAAGCTCAAAGACATTACCCATTTTTCACTTCGCGCAAACGATTGAGAGCGTCGACGTGCTGCTCGAAGGTTTGCTGAGTGCTGTCCAAATCTTTGCGTTCCGTCTCCAAGTCCTTGGACACCTGACTCTTTTCCGCTTGCAAAGCATCCATGGACACACTCGAATCATAAGAATCAGGTAATTTGGTCTAAAAACAAATATCTGTTAGGGTTCTGTTACCTCATAGAGTAATCCGATTACCTTTAGCTGTTCAAGCTCCTTCTTAACTCGAACAGAATCCTTGAGAGCTTCATCAAGCATCGTCATATCGCCCAGCATCGAATTTGCGATGTCCATGTTTTGGGTGGGCTCACCAATCAGAGCAATCAACGTCTCATACTCACTGACAGTCTCTCCCAGAAGAATCTCGATTTCTGTCAGCTCTTCCTTCTTCTTGGGCAAGATATCCTTGAGCTCCCTCACCTTCAGAATGCTGGGTTTGATTTGCAGCAAGTTCTCGTACTTCAGCTGCTCGGCCTTCAGAGCCTTTTCCGACCTACTGATATTGTCGGGCAACTTCTGTATTTCATCGGACAGCTCGGTGGTTAGATCGCAGGCCTAAAATCAAAGCATTACATATTATATCCAACTGTTGACCTGTACACAAACCTTACCTCATCGCCCGACATATTGTGATGACATAGGGGACAGCATGGCTCTTCATTAATCTTTTGTATATACCTTGGAGTAAACATAGTTTGAAGTTTAGTTTCGAAACCCTTTTCGACGAAATATCATTTTGGGACTTACTTCTTGTACAGAGCCTCTGCGGACTTATGGGCACCATGCTCAAGCTGCAGCTTGGAAATGGCCAGCTTGCTGCGCTCCAGCAGCTCATCGTATGGTGTTGAGCGACACTTTTGGAATATGAGCTCCTCGCCCTCCTTCAGCTCCTTTTCCATGCGTGCAATGTCCGCAATAATATTCTTGCGCTTTATCTCATACGATTGTTCCTTGAGCTTTTGGGCATTGGCTTTCTCGTTTAGTTCTTGAATCTCGCGGCGCACCTTGTCGTAGGCACCTTGCATGGAGCGGCGATAATTGCTGGAGATGGGCTCCTTAAAGAACTTGCCAAAATTATCCGAGTGACGACTGCGCACACGATGGATCTCCTGGTTCTTCTTCTCCAGCTCCTTTTCCTTAAGATTCATTTCGGCCACCAGCTTGGCCATGGATCCCAGAAAAGTCAGTTGCTCATCCAGTTTCTTAAAGAGGGCTTGCTTCTGGGCTATGCTGACCTTTTTGCCGGCTATGATTTCCCGGAAATTTTCCTGATTGAAGTTTTTTGATGTGCGCTCGTAGATGGCATCGGCGTCTGCTATCTGCTTCTCCAGCAGCTTCAGCTGCTGCATTGAAGTTTCGATTTGCTGAATCTTCACTTCAAGCGTATCATTCTCCCGTTTGCAGGCCTCCTTTTGCTTTTCTTGTGCAGTGACGCCCTGTTCCGACTTGGTCAAATCAATGCGCAGTTCGTCGATCTTTGACTGCCTGGCCTTATCCGCGCTATCGTTGTGGTCTGACACTTCCGTGATCTCACAGAGCTTGCTCATGATCACCACCTCTATGTCGTGGAGTAAGTCAACCAGTTTCTCGGGCTCTGCCATCAGATCACCAGGTATGGAGATTTGTAACTCTTTGCAGAAATCCTTGACCCTCTTCACCAACTGCGTCTTGCACGCCTGTTCGCTCTGGTGCTGCTGCTTGGCCAAGCAACATTTTTTGTCCTGCGCAGTCTGGGTCTGCTGCACTTCGGCGTGGGATCTTTTCAATTCGGACAATTGCTCCTCCGTTTCGGAGCGTTTGTGCCTCATTTCAGACATTCGTTGGTCAAAGTTACGGATCTCGAGATCCAATTCAACCAAGGAACCCTCAAAATGGGTCTTGATTTTCCTGTAAATGTCTAAAATTTGCTCTTTGCAGTTCTTATGCCTGTAAAATAGCAGAGGAATGGTCCGATTTTGGTAAAGAAATGAATGATTGATGTAACACACTCACTTGGTATCTATTTCCACCTTCTGTGCCTGATGTTTTCCAATCTCATATTCAATGTCTCGGATCTCTTGCAGCCTTGCCTCAATGGGTTTCATCTCCTCCTCGCAAGCGCTGCACTGCGCTTTGATGGATTCACATTTGCTCTGAGCCCTTTGCAGGCCCAAAGTTTTCACTTCCATCTCTTCCTTCAGATATGCCACATGCTTCATCCCAGCCTCTGTTGCGTGAGAACACATTGATGATGGTTGGTTTTAAACGGAATTTTTAGACACTCACCCATCACCTTCAGCTTATCCATGGATTCCTTGCGCAACTTAATGATCTTATCCAGGGCTTTGTTGTACTCGGTAATGCCAAAAATAGCATCAAACTTCTCCTTTAATTTCTTCGCCTCGTCTAGCGGCCAACTGGAGTCTTCTTGGTGGCAGAATAGGACGTTGTTTATGATAGCCTTCGACACGCCCATGAAGTCAGAGATGGCCAAGTCAATGTTCTCGGTGCGACCGCTCAACGAGTCCTGGTTGTCTCGTTTTGTATTTCCCGCATCGGTTAGAAAGTTAATTGTGGAATCCATAGTCTCAAACGAGACCTTGCCACGCTTGCTCGAGACTTTCATGGTGCGACAGATGGAGACGCGGGAACCGCATTTGTCCCGAACCTGCATCTTTATTTGCGCCAGGGATTCGTTCAGCCCAAAGATCTTTGGGTCGTGGACAAAGCTCTTTCCTCTGTCACTGCCAGGCGGGCACTCTCCCGTCAGAGCATACTTTAGGCACTCTATTACTGTGGTCTTTCCACAACCATTCTCGCCCAGAATCAGTGTTACAGGCGACGAAAATGTTAGGCTCTGGAATTCCGGTTAATCAAGGTTAAATTTAGCTCTTTAAAAGCCAGCACTTACCTGCAGATCTTCTGCATTAGATCCAAAGCTACGCACGCCTTGAATCGAAAGTTTGTCAATTGATGACATGATTTGTTTAGCTCCAAAGCTCAACAAATCCAGTCGATTCGAAATGATTTTTCCAATTTCCAATTTCACAAGACGCAATTTTGCCGGGCTGCCAGGGATGGAGTGATGCGAATCAACAGGCGATACAACAATCGATTAATTATATGGAAAAAAAACAACGAAATTGTTAAATATAAATAATTAACTAGGAAATAATAGCTGAGCTATAAGTTTTTTGAAAAGTGACTTTATATAAATTGTAACCATAAAAACATTTATTGAATTTACATGAACGTGTTGCATCCATCCCTGAACTCCTATCGTGTATCGATATTTTATTATTATTTAACATTTAATCCGGAAATTGTTAATGAAAATGTTTCGAAAACATTTTGGGAACCTGTCTCGTGTCTCCACACAACTTCAGCGCAATGTCTTGCAACTGTCCACGAATGCGGAAGCGTCTCCCGTTGAGGGAACAGCGGCAGCAAGCGTAAACGAGTTCCGCACGGCCGTTGCCAATCCCGGCGAGCACTCGGCCCTGCATGTGGCCAAATTCTACACCATACCCGTGGAGCAGAAGAAACAGATCTTTACCGGCGGTGGCCTGCCAAAACAGTACGAGCAACAGATAAAGACTTTCACCGAATCCTGCCTCATGGTGCGATCGCCGGCGCTGGAGCTGCTCCACTACATTAAGAACGCGGATCTGACGAAGCCTGTGGTACGTTATGTGCTCTATGGAGACAATGGTGTGGGCAAGACATTGACCATGGCCCATGTTCTACACTACGGAGCCATAAATGATTTTCTGCTGGTTCATGTACCCTGGGCGCCCAATTGGATGAAACGGCCCAAGGAGGCATCCAACGCCACTCAGGAGGGTATGCTCGATCTGCCCTTCGATGCGGCCGCCTGGCTGGTGCATTTCAAAACGCAGAATGCCAAGTTGCTGCAGCAACTGCAGCTGAAGACGAGCAAGGAGTATGTGTGGAGCAAGCGCGAGAGCACACCCGCCGGCTCGACCCTCATAGAGCTGGTGGAGCATGGCATATCGCGCATAAAGTACGCCACGGAAACAACGGTGGCTTTGATTTCAGAGCTTAAACAGCTTTCGACGGCGGGACAGTGCAAAGTAATGGTGGCCATCGACGGCTTCAACGCCTTTTTCCATCCCGAAACGCGCATCTTCTCGGACAACAAACAACGGGTGACACCAGACCGCATAACGCTGACACAGCCCTTCCTCGACATCACCAGCTACGACTGGACCAATGGAGTTTGCATCCTGTCCGTTGATAAGCTCGCCATGACCGAGGGCTACATGGACTCGTATATGCCACGCTATCTGCTGGGCACAGCGGGCTTTGAGCACATCGATCCCTTTGTGCCAGTTCACGTGGACAACTACACGGACAAGGAGTTCCACAGCTACATAAACTACTACTTGGACCGCCACTGGATCAACAAGACGCCGAAGGGCTTCGAGGAGCAGCTGAAGTTCATGAGCAATAAGAATCCCTACACGCTCATGCAGCTTGTCAAGTCATTGTAGAGGGGAACTGTCCCATCTTTGTTAGCTAATAATCGTAAATAAAATCGACTTGTTAAAGAAATGAAAATCAATAATAGTAGTTGTGCAATTTTGTTGAATAATTATGGATTTAATTATGTTTTTCTTTGTGTTTTTGGTGCACATTTAGTCAACGGCGAATTCAAATGGGGAATTATATTTAACGATAATCAGCAATTTATAATAATGCACTGTAAAGAATATAGTAAATATTTGTTGTGTGTATATATATGTATGTCTGTATGTATATGCATATTGGTTTCAAAAATCAATACAAATCAATGTGTGGTTTCAGTTTGTGTGGCTTCAGAAGCGCATCATCAACAAAATCAAACTCTAACTCAAACTCCAGTGGGGTGGGGTGGCATCTCTTCTACTATATGCGATTATGTAGCTATAGCAAGTGCTGCTCTATATCTTCTACATTTCATATTTACTTTTTCCACATCTCTCTATTTGCAGCAGGGGATGGGTGTGGGTGGAGGAATAACGAAATAATAATAATAACTAAGCTGCAATTTAACATTTGTCGTCATATTTCGTATGTATATTTGCATAATTTCTATTACAATTTGAGTTGCTTTCAACAACAATAACAATTATGTATTTATGTATGTGTTTGTTTGCTTACTTCTTCCCTTTATCGGAGTCGGAGTCGGTTGTGGGCATGGCTATATACGTTATATTATCGTGTTGTCGGAGGCTATCCTCGCCTCCTCGATCTATGTAGAATCATTCTCCTTTGCATTCTCCTTACTAGTTCTTTCATTTGGTTTTAATGTAGTTATGCTGATGCTTTGAATATATATGTATGTTTGTATGTATTCATGTATGTCTGCGGTGTATGTGTGTGTATCTGTATAGGTGTATGTATATATTATTCATACTCTCATCTGAAAAAGGTTGTTTTTTCTCTGTCGTGGCAACGTAACGAATTAAAATAATAATAATAATAATAATAAGCCTCCTCTAATCGTAAACGTAATAAAAATGCATTAAGCAAAATGGTGGGTTAAAAACGCAGGGAGATGGATAAATAAAGCGCCTACATAAAATTCAAGCAGCTGCGGGGGGTTGGGGTGTGGCAGACGTAAATACTTAAAAATGAAAGGATATTCGTCAGTAATAAAATAATAATGATAATAATAATAATAAAGAATCAAGATTAAAAACAAAAACAAGGACTTTTGGGCCAACTGGGGTGGTCCTTCCTGAATATAATCAAAACAAATCAATTCAATTCAATTCGATTCGACTCGATCCACAATGAGGGGTGTTCGGGTTCTTCCAAATGCTCGCAGAGTCCAGAGCACAACACACACACACACACACTCACACACTGATTACATTTGTTCCCAGCGCGGATGCCCAAGATGTGCGAATTCCGTGTGTTTACAGGTGGGGTGTGTTTGATGTGTGTGTGCGTGGGGGGGCTGGGCTGGGTGATCGATCCTCTTCGTCATCTGTTTCTTAGAGCATTCGTCTACTTAGGCTAGTTTTCTTAATCATACATTTACCGATTCGATACGTTTCGTTTTGGTTTTCACTTTCTCGAAACATTGGCAAACATCAATGCGTGATAAACTGTTCTGTTCAATGTTTTTTATAATGATTACTTCTACCTTTGGAGCAGCGTTTGAATTCGCGTGGATGGGCGTGGATCCGTGGGGATGGTACAATGGTGATGGCGATGACTGGTGTGATGGTGTGGCCGCGAAATGGTTCAACAATGGCTGTGCACTGTGTGTATATTATTTCTTGACAAACTGATAGGGGGCAGCGGGACGGTAGCGCATGGTCTGCTGTACTGTGCCACCGAGTCCGCCGCCCGTGGTGGTCACAATGCTATTGGCCATTATGCCGCCACCACCGGCATTGCCGAGGCCGGCATTCCGCCCATTGAAGTTGGCCGCACTGACCACCATGCCGGGCGGCGAGGCTCGCACAATCGTCTGAGGCTGCATAGTCGTGTGCATGGCATTTCCCCGCTGGTTGGCTGAATTAAGGATACGATTAGCTAAATGGAAACCCAACAGTGCGGGCGAGGACCCAACACTCACGTGGCACGTAGGGCTTTGGCTGGTGGTAGGCGTTTGTGTGTGAGCGATAGTAGACAGTCTCTTCGTTGTGGTGATAATGCGATTGCTGCTGAAACTTGTGTCTGCAGGCAAAAGGATCAAATTAGTGAGACTCGGTCAGTGGGAGGGTCAACCTGTAGCCACCTGTAGTTGCCGCCAGAGCGATTGTTGCCGTTGCCACTGTTGCCACCAGACAGAGGTGGTCCGCTGCTGGCAGCCACATTCGACTGCAGCTGGAGCTGGCGCAGTGTTAGTTTCTTGGCCGCCTCGGGATCCTCCATGAGCTCCCTGTACTGCTCCTGGCGAATGTCGTCGTGCTTATCCGGTGTTAAGTAGCGCCTGATCTCGGCCAGGGCGTAGGCCACGCGGGCATATGCCTCGGCAGGTGGGGCAATGGTGGATACTTCGACGTGGAGCGGAAGATTCAGGTGGGCGTATTTGGCGTCTGCCGAGTTCCGCAGCTCTTCTTCGCGTGCCCGGTCCTTCATCGAGAAGCGACCGAGTATGACGATTTTGCACTGCGTCTCCTCCTGCAAGCGCCGCAGCGAGTTGCCCTTGGGGCCGAGCAGCTTGCCGACATAGTTGAACTTCTTATCCTTTATGGGCACGTGCACCTTCTGCGACAGTTTGATTGTGCGCTGCTGGTAGACATCCGCGTACTGGTCTCTCGTGGGTATGCGCCCGTTCAGCTGCACCCGCTCCAAGGCTGCAAGATTGGATTGGGGAAACTGAGCACTTGTCAAGAAGAAAACACGCTTTGAATCGATTACCTTCGTCGATTAGCTTGACTGCCAATGGAAAATGATTCTCCATGCGCGACCGCTCGGTCATCAGTTCCTGCATGTATTTCTGGATGGCTGGCGCCGGCTGAGCCTTCTCGATATCCCCATTCGCACTATGTTCGTTTTCGTGATCGCCATTGCTGGCCACTGTGCCGCCCGTCGCAACCACAACGCCTACAGCCGCCGCCACTACGGATGACCCTGGGCCCACACGCATTCCGTTTTCCGCCATTTGTCCTGCTTCCCCAACGGAGCCCGTTCTCAATTAGTCGCCTCGTTTATTGCCAAATAGTGGGTCGTTATCACTGTGCGCCACACGCTTTGCAGTCAATTCGATTCGGTTTTGGCAAATGTGTGACTGCAACCTTCCTATGGCCCTAATTTTTTTTTCTCTCAAGTGTGTATTTTATTCGTATATTTTTACTATGTTTATGCCGAAATATGGTAACGCTGCGCTGACTTCTTCACGTGAGTGTATCGAAGTGCACTGTTAGTCTACAGCTGTTATCGCTGTTAGTTATCGGTATCGCCTGTTATAAGTGTCGTCTCTATTTAGCTTTTTGCGGACGAACCAGATATTTATTTCCAATACAAATTTGTAAAAAAATATGGTCATAAGGTATGCAATCCAATAAAAAGGAAAATTTATAATAAGCCAAATTTATTTTTCAATTGGATTAAATTATTGTTTCAGTATTAAAAATATGATTACGACTACGGTATAGTTTTGGTATATCTTAGTTTAATTTTAAGGGTCTGACGGTATATATTATCAATAATTACGCGGTCACACTGCAATACATACATGCATAAAAAAAAGAAAATAATTTTTTCAGCCAAGTAAAATTTTCCAAATAGTGGAATTCGACGAACTTCCACTTGAAAACGTACAAATTTGAGAACTATGCCGCGTGACTACGATCGAGACTACAACGAGGACACTGCAGACTACAAGCGAAAGCGCAGGGATGATGAGCCAGCAGCAGCCGGCGGGGGTGCTCCGGAGACTCCCGAGGCGGACGGTAGCCACAACGCCAGTCACGCCGGACTGAGGGACACACCCCAGCTGAACGAAAAGACAAATGGCTATCTGCAGGAGTGCTTGCAGGAGAAGAAGACACTGGAGAAGAAGCACGTCATAACCAAGCGTCTGCTGGACGATGGTCAGTGGCTGAGACACGTAATAAGTAGCGCATCTAATCGATTATTCCATTATTCGCAGAGGTTGAGAAAATATTGGTTAGCGGTCGCATACCCAAGCCGGAGATCTATGCCAACGTGTACAGCGAGAAGCCGATCCGTGTGGCCCAGAAGGTGCTATTCCCCATCAAGGAGTATCCCAAGTTCAATTTCGTTGGCAAGATCCTGGGCCCCAAGGGCAACACACTGCGTCAACTGCAGGAGGAGACAATGTGCAAAATGGTCGTTATGGGCCGCAACTCAATGCGTGACCATGGCAAGGAGGAGGAGTTGCGCAGCTCTGGGAATCCCAAATACGCACACCTCAGCCGTGATCTGCATGTGGAAATATCGACAGTGGCCCCGCCAGCCGAGGCCTATCACCGCATCAGCTATGCCCTGGGTGAAGTACGTAAGTTCATGATACCTGACGCCAATGACGACATACGCCTCGAACAGTTGCGTGAAATGGATGGAAAGGAGCGGATATATAAGAAATCTCACCATTATTCCAAATCATATGGCGAGCACGGAGCCTACAACACTCGGTATGCCAGTGGAAAGACAGTGATTGATTGATGTTTGAACAATTACTGAGGATTGCATTTCTTACAGTACGCCGCCACCAGCCTCGTCCAAGCCGAAAGTGTACTCCATTCTGGAGAAGGCCCGGTATGTGATGGACGATCCAAGCTACGGCATAGTTAAGACCCACAGGTAGGCTAGGAAGAGTTAATTCTACCAGTCCCGAGTACTCACGACTTCCGTTGAATAGATCAAGGGACCACGAACTGTACGACCATCATGGGGAGTACGACCGATATGCGACACCGCCACCACAGTCGTCGAAGCACTCGAGCCACCATGCCCAGTACGACAGCACCTCCTACGAGCGTGACTACAGGCGTGAGTACCACCCACACTCTTCCTCCTCATCGTATGCGACGGCCTATCCAGGTAAGAAAACTTCCGCGTATGATTTATTAATGTTTTCCCCACAGCAGGCCAAAGAAAAACAGAGATTGCGAAAAGAAACAAATAGAAAGGAAAATAAACTCTTAAACTAAACACGCGCAAAGAAAAAAAACAAAAGAAAAAAACCGAAAAACAAACATAAGAAAAGTAAATTAAAAAGAAAAGAAAACCAGAAACCGCCATTTAACCGCGTCTCAAAATTATGATCAACGAAAACCCATCCCACCATATTTAACAAGATTTTAAATGCACTATGCCTGAGCAAAGGCGAGGTCAACCAAACAGTACAACCGGCCAGAAATCATCTTCATTAATTGGAAGACTGCTAACATGTCCAGAAAAAAAAAACAGTAACGAAAAACATCTCGAAAAAACATCCGAACTACAATCAAAGCAAATGTTTCATATTAATTCATATCTAGAAAACCAATCTATAAAACAGCATCAAGGAAACGGCAATTAACGCTCAAAATACATGCACATCAAGTAATCCAAGCTGTGATATATGAATTTTCATACAACAAATTGATGCAAAGTTTGTAAAACTTTTTTTTAAGCGCGAACAAAATGTACTTTCAATTGAATTGCAGAGGAATAGATTTCCCAGGGTGTAGTGCATTCAAAACCGGTTAAGCAATTTATTTATTTCCTTTTCGTTTTACCATTGTATATATCTTAGGAGAGTATAAAACAGAGAGCAAACCAAGAAAAGCACCACAGAGACAAAAACAATGAAAAATCTAAACAACAAATAAAATTCTTTTCAAAATAGCAAAACCAAGCAATGGTCGCTCCTCATCGTCATATCGCCCAACCACCACGGGCTCGGGATCACATTCATCTGCTCAGTACGAAACTGGATCACGTTCTCGTGAAAGCGTGCGTTACCGCTCGGCTCCATATCCGAAAATACGTTAACCCATCGCCTAACCAAAAATCCCAACAACTACAACAACCACAACAACCACAACAACAACAACAACAAAACAACGTTAAGCATAAAGAATAAAAGTAATATTCCAAACAAAATTATCGAAAAGCAAATGTTAAAATTCAATAATCCAACTATACACACATATTTAATATATTGCCTTAAAAAAACAAAAAAAAACAAATAAATTGATAAACAGCTAATTTTTTATTGCAATTGTTCCAATATTCGAATAGTGTTCCAAAATCTAAAAGCAATCAAAGGAAAATCCGAAACAGAAATCAATGCATCAAATTTTATACAACTTGAAATCTTTGTACAAAAGCAAAACAAAAACAAAAATACAAAACTGATTTTATTATAGTAAACAGCCCAGCCGCATTAATTTAACAAGACAAGAGAAGAGAGCAGAACACAAAAACAAAACAAAAATCCCCAACAAATGAATTCATTTCTAAAAACCATCACAGCGAAATGTTAGTCTAAGTTTTCCAATTATTGTTCCATAAGATAAACCAACAAGTAATAAGGTCGAGACATGTACATGTTACCCAACGTCCAAGTAAGTATCCTCAACGGAGCGCCCCCCTAAAACCAACAACAAAAACAAACTTCTTCGCCAACAAATAAAATCAATTATTAAAACAAAATTAACGAAAACAAAAACCCAATTTGCCGGCTTCGTTACTATTCCCCAGAAACGAGTATTCGGATACGTTCAACGTTGTCCTTTCAATGTATACTTTTATTATTTTCTGTTCATGCGAATCAACGTTTGTTTTGTATTAATTTTAATATTATTTTTAAACTTTAACCCTTACGCTGAATACAACAGAACATGTCTGCCGCAACACTACCCTAAAATAAACAAACAAAATACAATTATAATAATAAAAAAATAAACGTACATTATCGCTTGTTTTCCTCTATGGGTGGGAGAATATAATATTTATTTCACATCTTCAAGATTATGTTTAATCCACTGCAGCCCAAGTCCAAGGGCTGTTCACTTCAGGGCGCCATCGAGGAACAAGAGGCAGTCAACCACCGATATGGCCATATCCACGTCTTTCTTTTGAACCGTTTTCTTTTTAAACTGTGCCGTGAACTTGTAGGACTCCCGGGCCAACGAGGCAATAAACAATTCCACTGCTTTGGTCACAGTAAACACAGCTTCTTGCGTGGCCAAGTGCAGGTCTGGGTCCAGCTTCATTATGGACTTCACGCGTCCCAGGGGCAGCTGGGTTAGCTTTGCCGCACGCTCGTGATCGGCGGCTGACCTGCTGCCCACTAAAATAAAGTCGTTGATGAGGTGAACACTTCTTTTATTTAAAGCATTTGGTTTTACCGGACTTCTCGGTCGCAGCGTCGGCTGCTGGGGTCGTCTCTTCTGTTGTATCCGCAGCCTCTGCTTCATCCTCTGATTCGGCTGCATCCTCTGTTTCCATTCTCTGCTCAACTTCTAGCTCCGGCTCTTCGGAGCATTCATTCTGAAAGATGTCTTCGCTAGCCATTGTTTTTTATGGTTTAATTGTTTATTTACAGAATCGTGGTTCTAATGCCGCCATAAGTATCGATTACCAATCAACAAACACTTATCGATATATTTGCACATCAATCAATCATCTCTAGCACTATACACATAATTTTCCAGTGCGACTAAAATTGAAACGAATTGTTTAAATATGGAAGGTTCAGGCGAATTTATAGAGAAATTCATTGAAAAGCCACCGGTGCATGATCACCAGCCGCGCTTGAATGAGGTGGCACAAAAGTTTTTGGCCGATTTGGACGAGGAGCGGTCGCGCTTGTCCGCTGAGTTTCCATTGTGCGCGTTGCTGATTGACGAGGGTAAACCGACTTAATTGAAAATCCATTGTGAATGTAACTTAACTATGCATTTTCATATTTTGTATTGCAGCTGTGGACCGTGTTTACTGCACAGGTCGCATTCCGGGCAAGGAATTCTACGCCGATGTGTACAAGCAGAAGCCAATGAAAATCACCCAAAAGGTGTTTGTACCTGTCAAGCAATATCCAAAGGTATGAGTGAGTAATCGGACATGCATCCAGCAGTTACCATATCCGTCTCGCTCTGCCACTTGCAGTTTAATTTCACCGGCAAGATATTGGGCCCCAAAGGAAACTCGTTGCGCCGCCTGCAGGAGGAGACGCAGTGCAAGATCGCCATTAAGGGGCGCAGCTCTATTCGCGATCGCAACAAGGAGGAGCAGCTGCGAAATTCCGGAGACCCGCGCTATTCCCATCTGCAGAAGGATCTGTTCCTCGAGGTCAGCACTGTGGCCACCCCGGCCGAGTGCTATGCCCGCATTGCCTACGCCCTGGCCGAGATTCGTAAGTATCTAATTCCAGACAAAAACGACGAAGTGTCGCACGAGCAGCTGCGTGAGCTCATGGAAATGGATCCCGAGTCAGCCAAAAGCATCCATGGACCGAATCTTGAGGCTTACAGGTAAGTTGTTGGAGTTAGTAATGAGTAAATGATTCGCTGATTAATGCTCTGCTTGCAGATCTGTATTCGATAAGAAGTTTGGGGCTGGCAGCAGCAGTGCTCCAAAGTATATAAACCTGATCAAGAGAGCCGCGGAAAATCCGCCCGAGTAAGTTAATTGTAAAGTATAATTTTGTATAATTTACTGACCAACCAGGATTACCCAACCGACCGGAGCGGCCTTGCATCGCAGCATCTCAACTTAGCCCCTGACTAAAGACTGATCCTATTTCTAATTAAAAATGTTGTTGTTTATAGAGCCGAAGAGGCAGAGGAGGCGGTCTACGCATACGAGCATCAACATCGTATGCCTCCCAAGCGTGGCCCACCCACGGGCTATGAGTACAGCAAACGTAAGTGGAGTTGAAATGCCTTTTGCTTCCAGTCGTAGTTCGTAGAGCCTAGGATCTATTAGATCTACTCTTTTCCCTCACTCTAAATTCTAGGGGTCGCACTTTCGATGGGTTTCGTTGGGGTAGTTTGTAGCACAAGTGATTGAACCTGAAACTTCTAAAGATAAAAAACAAAAAACCAAAATAATGACTAATTTTATAATAACAATCAACCGTTTTATATTTAACGACTTAAACCATTCTTGAAACACGCATAACATACTAAAAGTAATAATGAACCAATTTTATAGCACGTCCATCAATAATACCAACAAATGCAGCGGCTTATAAACGTCCACAGCCATATCCAACCGACATGAAACGTATGCGCGAACCGCCCATCAAGTCCTATAAACCCAATACGTATACCATACTCAAAAAATATAAATAATATTACAAAACTAAGCTCAAATAAATCCGAGTTGAACTCAAGTCAAGTTGATTCCACCTCTCTCCCATAAACGAATGAATAATTAAGGACAATGTTTATGTTTATAAAACCAAAATCTGAAAACGAAATATCAATGAGAAATCAATTGCTTCTTGGCCTGATAAGAGTACGAGTATACAATGAATGAATAATGAATAATTATAAAATTCCAAGAATATTAATTGAAACTTAATTCATAATTTCCATAAATCTATTTGAGCTCTTGCGCATGTCAGCGGACCGGAGCAGAAGCGCCCTATCAATATCGATTACAATTACCTACTGTTTTGAATTATGATTTCCTGATTTCCACATTCACATACATACCTATTATTATTCTTCTCCATAAATGTGTAATAAAATGAAACATCATGAACGAATATAAAGAAAGCATTGTCCAATCAGAGCCAATTATAATCTAATCTAACCGAATCGAATCGAATCTAATGAATCGGCCGATCCTCAGATAATCAATATATATACATTATATTTACACGAGTCTGTAGCAGTAGAGTCGAGAATAAAGTACTCATAATCAATATTATAACCCGATTCAATTATCACAGATCAAAATTCCATTTGTGACATCAAAGAAATCAAGAGCCTTTAAAATAAGCAAATAAAAAATTATGAATTTATAAATGAAAATGAAAAACCGTTTGAATAAACAATTAAAAATGCTGCATAACAACATTTTGTCAAGTATATTTCATGTCTTCCCCATACCCAAAAGCAAACAAGAAAATATGCATAGCTTATAGAAACTTTAGTTGATCCCTTGATGGGTAAGTATCCGAAATCTGATTATATCCTGTATGTTGTGAACTTAAATAAAGGAAAACATATGAACCAAAGTTAACATTTCGAGAGTTTTTTCGTATATTGGATACATGACTATGGGGGAAAGTGAATGAAACACACGCTGGACTTCTATGTATTTTTCTATATATTATTTAACAAACGATCTTTGATCTACTTCTACACTTGATATTGCAGTCGGCTTCCTGTAAAGCTGGCAATCCAAATTTGCTTCATCAAGGCGGCTTTTTCGACCCTTGAGGCGTAGGCTTCCTGCTGTGACTGTAGACGCTGTAGGATTCTCTCGTATACCTCCAGGGCTGTCTGGTTCTGCCCACAGCGACTCTGCTCACAAGCCTCAGGGCCAGGAAGCGACTCCCCAATGAAATTGTCCTCGAACAAGGCTGGACTCTCACTTTGTGGGATCATCTCTGGGAACAGGAATGCATTTGTATTGATTCCAATGCCTATTACGATCGATAAGAACTCACTTTGTTGTTTTGGTTTGGAGCAAACTTGTGTTCCTGCCGACTAGATGTGTGTCCTGTCCGCTATGCAGTTCGCGACTGAGCAGGAAACTAAAGTTCTTGCCACCACTACCAGCAGCACCACCACCCTGGAGAACCATATGGCAGGCATGCTCTGCGCACATTGCGGAATTCCTCCTCCTTCTACGCTGCGTTGCAGCTGCGGGGCAACAACGCATTGTTGTCTCTGTCTCGCCGCCTGCCTCCCGCAATCCATCCCTCCCTACGCGTGAAAAGTGCGCTATGGTATCCTGCCAGTATGCATAGGGGTGGATTTTTTGTTTCGTTTTATTTTGTTTGCTTTATCAACATTTTGAATGGATTCAGCTGGGTCTATAGCAGCTCTAGTTTATTTCACTTTTATATCCGACAAAAATTACATTCAGTTTTATATGTATACATATATATGCGTCCCATATCCTTCCTATATCCTTTATAACGATTCATTAAGCCACTTGTTATCGCATCGGTAACTGTCCATTGTTTGTTCCGCTAAGTTCAATACAATTATACACTAATAATATAATAAGATTCATTAAGCACACGTCTAAAGCCAGCATTCTATAAGTAATTCGATCCTATACGGTTAATAGCATTCTAAGAGTTCAATTTTCGATACCTAATTGGCTTTTCAGCTAAAATAAAACTTATTTAGTTACAAATCAAACAAGAATTCGACTTCGAGGAATCTACACGTACAGATAGATCTAAAGGCGATATAATAGTAAGTATTCCTGATGCTCTAGATAGTATAATCAGATCTAGGCTGGAAGAGGAGGAAGCAAACATTGGAAGTATAACTCAGATCAGTAATCCCAGGAAGATTTGCTTCCCCAAGATCTAATTACATACATAAATCGAGTATATTCTATAATACAATAAGAAAGCAACACCTTACATAATTGGCCAAGCAATTGATTCCTTCCGATCGTACTCTTCTCTAATAATATATACCGACAAACATACAGTGTGTCAAGAGAGCGTTTTTACAAGGAATTGGATTAAAAACATCTTAATATCACGCATCTGGTTAAGAAAATAAAGATAAGATTGGGAAAAACCAAACAAGATAATGGGAAAATACTTTCTTGACATACTGTATCTAAGTGACAAGCTCGTTTTTGGGTGGTGCGCATCTCCAAACATTATCCCCGGTCTGGGAGGTTCAGTGCCGGTGGTAGAATTACGTTAACTGAACTTGGCCCGATTCAGATTCAGAACCGAACCGCCAACTGGAGGGCGGCCAAGAGCAGCACAAGCCAGAGGCCACAGTCCTGAACAGCCGGCGCCGAGTCTGCGGCGGAAGCGGGTTGTGTGGTGGCCGCAGCAGGAGACGGGGTGCTTGGCTCCGGTCCAAGATGGATGGTCACCTCGCGACGTACATCGGGGGGCATCACACGGCAGGAGAATCTCTGCCCATCCGTGGCATTGGCCGCCACGGGCACGGTCAATGTGAAGTTGGTGTCTAGGCCGTAGACGCTGCCGATTAGGGTGTTGCCATTGCTGATGGCTTTTTCATCTTTGTACCAGAGTATAACATGGTGTTGGGCTGGGAGAAAGAAGAGCGGATTCAATTAGAGGCGTGTATTCTCTATGAAAGCATTCTCGACACTCACCATTGTAGTTCTTGACGGGGCAATTCACCTTTACACTGCTGTCATTGGCACCCACATACACGTCCACTTCCGGCTGGTCGAAGTAGGGAAGCGCCAGCTTCGGACCTGCTGTGGACTTGGCCAGGTTACCAGGCGTCCGCTGCGTTTCCTCCTCGTCGTACTCACTGTAGTCGGTGCTCGCCTCACCGCCTCCGCCAGTTCCTCCTCCATTTCCGCCTACAGCTGCGGTTGTGGCGACTGATGGTTTGCCTGGGTGTGCCTCGGGCAAGGTCAGCACACCTGGAATAGATTGTAATTATTTTCGGGGCACATTATGCATTGAAAATCCACTCCAAGAAAGCTCCAAAACAGATTTCCGTGTCTGGCGATAGTTGAGTTTGAGCCTATGCCCCAAGGCCCTGGCAACATAAAACCATTAACGGAACCGGGCCAAGCCCCTTTCTGTTTTCCCGAGGAGCGTGTCAACGCCCATTCTGGATGACTGAAACCCGCTGAACCCAACTCAAGTGAACTAAGGCAATGTGATGGGATGTGAGGGTATGCCACACACATATGTATGTTATGTACGTATGTACGTGCCACAATTCCCATTGCTTTGAGGTCAGGACGTCAAAAGTATTATCACTTGAGCAGGAATATCTCACCTCCTCCCTTCCCTGCCGCACAGACACATGCATTTACATACGTTACGCTTCTTTCGGTTGATATGAGTACACGCTCGCGTATACATTTGGATCAAGGATGTACATCGCCTTGGTTGCGTCATTTGCAAGTTTAGCGCATTGCTTAATGGCAGCTAAAAGTGCCAATTTTACTCCATATAGTGTGTGTATGCTTGTATGTATGTTTATTATCTGTGTTGTGTGGGCAGTGTGTGTGTGTGCCAAAGTTATTAGTTTTGTTTGCTCTCTCGTTAGGTATGGAAACAAGACAGGACACCTTGCTTATCCTTGGCGTAGTTAGGACTTGTGTGTTTACCTTTGGGTAGGAATCGAATCAAAGAATTGGGGCAGCTTAAGGGACAGGCATTTATTTTATCTTCGTGAGATCATTAACTACATTTTAAATGCTGAAGTTACCTTGAATAAAATCTAAACGAAATCTGTACACATTTGTGCACAATTCTGGACAATAATGCAGAAAATCATATCAGCCATTTTAAGTACTTATTGCTGACTAATGATATGATTTGACCAACAGAAACAGAGGATAACTAGTACATATGCTTCGGTATGGATATGCCTCTCTTAATCCACTGGGATGGAAAGTTGTCAACTCACTCACTTATGCCACACGCCTCGGATGTCTTAGCTGTATGATAATTTATATCGATAAACCGCATTAATAACCCTGAAACACACACAGAGACATAGAGAGACGCCCATGATATGGCAATTACCACTCCCCAGACCCATTCCCATTCCCATTCCCATTTCCATCATCATCTGACATCTCCCGGCTCCCTTTACCCGCTCCCAATTGCTTAATTATTCAAGAGCCACTTTAATCATGTTGATATTTTTAACAATGTGCTCATTCCTCCCATTCCTTCTCCTCAGTACTCACTCAATACCCCAATTCTGGACGTGCCCCATGCAGTATTGTACTACTAATTTGTCTATTTGTAGGCACTGAACATCGGATCGGAGAGAAAGAGAGTGACAAGGCAAGCCTTGGTTACAAGTGGTTCCCGAATTGTCATCCCATTCAATGAATGACACACGTTCTGCCTGAAAACAGACAGCAGACAACACTCCCCTCCCCACACCCAGATGACATTTAAGGAAAGCCTATCCATAAAAGTGAAAACCTTACCGAGCACTTCTGCTGGGAGATGGTTGGGGTCATAGTCATGGACAAGTGTTTTATGGAGTTCGGAGCCGTGCTGGGGCTGGTGATGGGTACCCATAAACGGATGGCGAATTTCTAACCCTATACGCATACCTAACTATCAAACACTTGATGTTGTTCCAGCAAGTATGGTATGGTATTGAGCGATGAGGCAATTCCTGTATCGTTTCATATTTTTATAAACTAGAAACTTTTGTCCAAGTATTTTCCTTATTGGGTCAGTGGAGAGAAACAAGGATGGGGGTAGGTAAGTACAGGGTAATCCATCGATTACTTAAGCGCCTGCAATACCCACACAAAACACACACAAAGTCACATACATACAAACATACATAATGCACATAGAAACGAAGGCAGTGAGTGGCAAGTGCACTAGACATTTTCCCCAAGGATTATAATCTCAAGATTATGCAAATTTACATGGGCATGAACTAGAGGAGGAGCGCGAGAATTATAAGTATTTCTTTGTTCCATATTTCTCTGGGAACCATAATTGTGACGAGAGAAGAGTTCATTTTAAGAACTAGGTGGAACCCGCATAATCGTGTGGTTATACATTTGTACATAGTATCCACAGAGAGTTCAAGCTGTACCATTTAGAACTCATAAAGATTGTAAATTGAATTCAAATTAATATGTTTCTCGTGTTTGTATGTATGTACCATGTACTATGCCTGTTTATGGCGTTCATATAGCGGCAAAGATGTAAGAGGGGAGATGCAACCAATTCGTACCTGGAAACCGGGAAGATCCAAATGAGATAAGAGCCAGCAGCCAGAGATGCCTCATATTGTTTTGTTTGGTGTTCCGAACGCTGCTTTCCGAACGAAGTATGCAAATTTCAAGTACGATAACACTTTATTGGAATCCTTTTCACTTTTACGAGTGTGTTATGGTGTTTTTTTTTATATGTTTTGTTCTGTTCTGGTCACAATCCCGAATCGAAACCCGTTCGTACTGCTGCTGCGACGGAGGATAAGTTGGCAATGCCCCAAAAGCGTTGCCGAGACACAGAATTTTATTTTTGTGTGCTTTTTGCGTGGGTTGTAGTCATGTAGTGTTGCCTGCTCCGTCGTCGTACTGCGTTGTACTGCGGTGCCGCCAGAGCGAACCATCTGGATATGTGCTCAATGGCGGAAAGAGGCAGAGCAGAGCGACAGCGAGAAGCATTAACCGAAAGACCGAATGAACAGGAGAAGGCGCGAGCGCAAAGCGTCGGCAATAGGTAGATGACTCATATATTGCACAGCCGCAGGAGTGCCCTATTGGAAACCGAAAGCTAAAAATGTGTCAGAGAGAAAGACAGAGCGGGAGAGCACGCTGGCTTCCTGCAGAAGAGCTCAATTTCCCATTCTGCGTGCACGTCCCACGAACTTCAGAGAGAGAGAGCCCTAGGTCAATTCCATTTGAAATGCTTGTGCAGTTCCACTTTCCAGCATTCCCCTGGATTGTGCAGTTATTGCAGCAGTAACTAACTCACTCCACTGCCTCCCACCCCGCTCCCACTGCAGTTCCAACTCTAGCTTCACCGCCTTGCCAACTATTTGCAGGGAGCTTGCTTGAATGAAACGCTCTCTTAAATAGCAGTTTGCTCTCTTTGCCGCTGTGGGCCATGGGGAGTCTGCGCGGCTCTTGGCGCGTATTTCGATTTTCAACTAATTTTGTGCTGACAGCGCATAGTTTTTATTGTTGTTGTTGTTTGCGCTTGCTATACCCTGTACAGGCAGGGGTCTAGAGTGGATATGTTGGAAGCTCCCAATAAATAATAACTCGATCTCGACAGAATCAGGAAATTCTCGTCTTGAAATTCTTTGAATGGCGGGTATCGTACAGTCGGAATGTCGTCTATGATGCTCTAACTTGTTGTTTGATTAATTGTTTCAAGAAGAATGGAAGAATTCTCGGAAATTCTGTGGATGCAACGCCGCCACCAAAAGAAAAATCTCTCACTTTTCTATCTGCGCTCTGTGTGTGTGTGTGTTTGTGTAAATATAAATATTTGATTAATAACCACGCCTCTCGATTGGGGGGCTGGCTGGCTCCCCCAAAGGAATAGCTCTACATTTGCGGATGTTTACAGGCTTGGCACCCAACAGAAGACAAAACAAATAACCAGATTCACACGCACACACAGACACCTAGCCTTAGATACAGATACATATGTATACTATGCATATGTATCTCTGTGTAATACGAAATGCAATGCACTTTGTTTTATGCTCGTAGATTAATTTTAATTGTTTGTTTGTCTGTTTGTGCAGTGCCAATGTTGCATGTATCTATGTAAATATGTACATATGTAGCTACATTTAATGCTGACGCTGCGGCCTGACACTGTGGCCCGGCATAAATTGTATCTGCATCTGTTGGATTGCCTGTATCGGTATCTCTGTCTCTGGATGTGCCTGTCTCCAATGTAGGCGTCATCAGGCACTGACAAATAAGCAAACAAGTATGATAACCTTAGATGGTAGACGACTACAAAATACCCAGTACGCAGATCCAAAATATCAATGGAATAAAATGCAGTTTTTGTTGCTGGAAGTAATATGTGGCAGCTATCAAATGCACTGCAGTCAAAGACAACTTGGGTTAAACCTTTCCATAGAAGAACAATTCCTGATGCAGCATGCCCCTGTGTACCACGACCATCGGGTATGAAGCCAGGCCACCCCAAGTGTGCACAGTCCCCAATCATCCATCCCATCTTGCCCCATGGCTTTGGTCTGCCGCAAGGAAATCACAGTTTTGTTAGTGCCATCAACAAGCTCCCTCCCATTCCCAGACTCGAACATGGATGCCTGAGAACATCTCGCGATTCCATTAAGCAAATTGTCTTTGGGGGATGCAAAGAAATTTCCGCGAATCATCTTGGAGTGCAACTGGCTTGCGGCAGGGGCAGGGACTGGGGCCGGGGCAGTTACAGGAATTCAGCTCAAGCATGTGGCACACTCGAGGGACTTCTGTTACACATATGAAGTAATAATTAAGTTTTGAATTGGAAATTAAACAAGGCTCGTGGGAGCGTTTTCTGTAAAGCCCTTGGCCCAATATCTTGCATAATTATAATCCATATTTTCATCTGTCAACATCCGCTAAGCCCTTTCGCTTTCATATTTATGGCCAGGAAATGCTTTCCTTCTATAAATATAGCCCCCGAAACACAGATGAATATTTTCAAAATACAACTAATTCCGGCTGCTCTCTCTTTCCTCTTTCTGAGCGCTCTGGCTCTCTTACGCTCTGCTTGCGCTCTCTTCGCCAACATGGCGACCAGAGAGGCGGCCCAAAGCAAGCATAAAGCAGACTGGCACAGAAATGCTCATTTGTATTTCTACTCTGGTGCCGAACGGTAATAACTGAATTCAATTCAATTCAAACTCGAATTCGAATTCGAAAAGGAAATAAGAGGTTGCGGATCGATCGTGTAAGCGTTGTGAGCGTGTGTGTGCTCCAGAGAGTTGTTGTAACGATTCTGAAAAAAAAGAATAGTTCTGAAATCAATAAAAATTCCCCAAGGAGAAAAGTGCTGACAGTGCTAGCCGGAAACTCAAACGAACATAATAACGCGGCACAAATCCCAACAAAAAAAAATAAAAACAACCGATCAAGAGTGACACAGATTTTGATTTGGACAAAAACCGATCACACAACCCATTGGATACATATTCATCGCCTGGCAGTGAGTGAGCGAGCAGATCTAACACACAGAACCCTATTAAAAATGATGTCCCGAAGAGCTCTGCTAATTGCTGGACTCCTACTGATCGTGGGCAGCTCCCTGGGTAAGTGCGGGAAATCAAAGTGAAGCGCCTATTTGGGGTTAGACCTGATGCAATCGTGGGTTCAGTTCAGCGCATTATCTAATCAGACTTGGGGCTTGGGGCCATCCGACTTGGGGCACACTAATCGCACTCCCATCAGATTCGGATTTGAATTGCTGGAATTTACTATAAATCGAAATGATTGTTGAGTGGCTTTTTCAAACTAGTTTTGACCTACATTTGTCCCTTGCCAGCACAGATCTTGGGCCTAACTTTGAGCTTTTAATGGTTTTTGGCATTCCATGATTGGGATGACTGTGATGATTCAGATTTTCGGACTTTTGGATGAGTGACGAGCGATGAGGAATATCCCGCGGAGTACTCGTTAGATCACAATGATTCATGGCTGATGATCTTTCATCTGCTGACATTTTTGCCACTGTGCAAAAAAGCATCCGCCTTATTCAAATGATATTTTTTTTATTGTATTCTGGTTGCTATTAGTTTGATAATTTCTGCACATTTTACAGCCAGTTGCAAAGAACAGTAAATGCAATAATTTATCGACTGCAGGCTGTCGCATTAATTCAGTTATTTATCACGTAACAACCTATCCGATGAATGGTAGTTGAATGCATTCAAGTTTTCCTCGCTCATTTCATTCTGTAGGAAATGACTGAGTGTGTGTGTGTGTGTGTGTGTGTGTGTGCGTTTGGATGGCATTTGAGGAGGGGACAGCTAAAATAGCGAAGCCTAGAGGTGTGTGCCATTTGCCATTTGTGATTCCGAATCGGCTACGGCTGTTAATTATTCCAGACTCTTCTTATTGTCAGTACCGGGCGGTGCCCGGCGGGACGACCCAGGAAATGAGCAAACAGCGAAATGGCAACAACAATCTCATTGATAGCCAGCTGGGGTTGCTGGGGTTCTCGGGGCTCTCGCGTATTAATTAGCCCTCGACTCACCGCAACAGTAGGTAAGATTTCCGCTAAAGAAGCGTGTCGAAGGAGAAGCGTGAGAACATTATTGATCGTGTCGGTAGATCACCTGGATCACCCTTTTCTCCCTGGGTGTTGTTTGCTTACCCTGGAGCCATAAACAATGCGATTATGATCATAGTGATTGGATTGCCAAATAGGAATACGAGTTCGTTCCCTTCCTTTTGGGTGCGATCGCCCGGCCAAGGATGGTTTCTCTTTCAAGACGATCCCTCCTTGATCTCTTCTCAGAAGTTTCGCAAGGAATTCTTGTGTCTTTCCCTCTCTCTATATTTACAATATTTAACATATTTACTTAATATTCCATGGTTGTCGCTCCGTGAATGCTTGACATGGGTAAACAACAAGTCTAACTGATGATCATCAGATCCTCTCTCTGCGATGCCATCTCTTTCCCGCTTGGGGGATCGAATTACATGGCATTTTGTAGTCCGCTTGGTGCGAATTCAAAGGAGGCATCAAATGACTGCAAACACAGAAAGAGGAGCCCATAAATGCAAGAAAAGAGATTTCGTGGTGCCCCGAGACGTGGGGGAGTGAGGAGCACAGAGTTTGTTCTTGTGCAGAAATACCCACTCCTCCTCCTCCGGCTCCTCATCTTCCACTGTCTCTGACCGGGCCCGGGTACATTTATTTTGGAATATGTGACTCATCGCTGGTTGTCGGTTCTGGTCGTGCTGCTCTGTGCATCGCCCTGGCCTGGTATTCATGCTGGATTCTCTTGCCACGCGGCTGCATGCACTGCACCACAGATGGGGGCTTTGTGGTGTGGGTACGGGGGGGCAGAGTCAGAGACAGAGTCTGCGACAGAGTCAGCCGGCAAAAGCGAGTTAAACAAACTCGTAACCAATTCTCAACAATTAAAGAATCAATTTACTTAACGTTGCTGGCGAATTGGCTGCCGCTGAATGGGTTGCCGGGGTGCGGGCATCGCATCCACCAGGGAGTGCTGCTGCTGCAACTCAAGTGGGGCATCATATGTACATACATGTACAAACTCGTATTTATACATAAAACTCTGATGATCACAACGATAATGAAGAACTCAACTGAAATGCTGATTCAGATGCAACAGAAGCGCAAAAGCCGCAGATGCCACGGCTTGGAACACAAATATTTTCAGAATTTATGAGCAATACAGAAGAAGTGGCAGCTTATGAGGGAAGAGTACATGAACATCCACAGTACTTGCTGTACGAATACTCAAAAAAGGGAATTACAGAGCTGCATGCTATTTTGATGCCTTGAATATCTGAAATTTGGGTGAAGTCCATTAAGGAATTATGGAAACTGTGTTAGTTGAAATACGAACACTAATGATTCATTGTTATCTTT